CGGGGCTGACAGAACATCTGCAATGACAGAGCCCGACGTGTCAGTGAAGACGCAGAATGAATCTCCACCGCGTGAGGAGGCAGCTGCACGAGCATCGCCATGGTTTTGACTGGAAGCTGCGGTTCTCAACTGTCAACCACTGCTGCACACAACATCCTCTGGTATAAATATATTTCACATCAAGTATGTCTTTGGAATTAACGTTTGGCCAACCCCAGTGAATGTTCTCAAGCCAGCATGGATGTATACCGATTAGACAACAGTCTAACGTTGGTCTATGTGGGGGACATCCCTGGAGGTTAATAGAGCTCAGAAATTGGAAATGGATGTGATTAGAACAGTTTGGCCACTGGCCGACTGCGTGGCATTTAAGTGAATGAGACGGGTCATTCCTGATGATAGCTGCTAGCTGGCCTCCGTTGCATCAGCTCTTCACTCGCAGGTACTGCGTGGTGGCCTAGGGTTCAACTCACTAAACACGACGCAAGTCAGCATCAATTTCAGATCCCAAATCGAGGCCATTTCTTTGCCTTTGAGTCTGGTCTCCTTATTGTCAGGTTCATAAATTTACACATTGTCAAGTAAATTGGATCATACTACGTAGCCTGGAATTGACTAATAAATATGCACACAAATCTCGCCTATAGTCTCTTCAAGGACTTCTATATTTGAGGAAACAATTGATATTCTTCACATTTATTTCTAATTTTGGATTATTTAAAGTAATGTGTGTGCATATGTGTGCGTGTGTGAGTGTATATATCTATGTCAACGACCGGTGGTGATATGATCAATATTCCCATAGGACGATTCAAGTGCATAAAAGCAAACATAATTCTTTATTTGTCATGCACTCAAATCATTGTCATCTGAGAATATTGATCATATTACTGCTTGCTGATATAGTATAGTGAAGGTTAATCTTTTTTCTCCTGTCAAATTTAATAAGATACTTAAGTTTTATAGCAGGCGTATTATAAATCGGACAACGAAATCATTTTTAAAGCACTGATCTTTGTTGTCTGCAAAGGAGAAAACATTGAGAGTCAGTCCTAAAGCAACAGGAAGCCTTATGGAGCTAGGCTAGCGGCTCTTTACCTCTGCGGGGATGTCCTGCCCTCTCTCTGCACTTCCGCCACTCTCTCTCTACGGCTCTGCCTATAGCAGGGCTGCAGGAATCCTCACATCTAAATATCCAGGTGTTTCCTTTGTGCCAGACACTGTCCCAAGCAATCTGTGTGTGTAATATCCTTTAATCTTCTCAACAAACCCAGAAAGTAATCCATCATTTTCCCTTTAATTCATTGTATCAAGAGAAAAAGAGAAAAATTCATTGATCATCTCACTAGATGCAAGAGAAACATTGGATAAAAATCAGTATCTGGTCATGACAGAAACTTTTTTTTTTTTTTTTTTTTTTTAGGCAGAGTCTCACTCTGTTGCCTGTGCTAGAGTGCCGTGGCGTCAGCCTAGCTCACAGCAACCTCAAACTCCTGGGCTCAAGCGATCCTCCTGCCTCAGCCTCACAAGTAGCTATGACTATAGGCATGCACCACCATGCTCGGCTAATTATTTTTTTCTATATTTTTAGTTGTCCAGCTAATTTCTTTCTGTTTTTTTTAGTAGAGACAGGGTCTCAAACTCCTGGGCTCATGTGATCCTCCTGCCTCAGCCTCCCGAGTAGCTGGGACTATAGGCATGTGCCACCATGCCTGGCTATTTTTTTCTATTTTTTGTAGAGATGGGGTCTCGCTCTTGCCCAGGCTGGTCTCAAAATCCTGACCTCAAGTGATCCTCCTGCCTCTGCTTCTGAGAGTCCTGGGATTACAGGCATGAGCCACCATGCCCAGCCATGATAGAAAATTTGCATATAAGAACAGTAGAGAATTGTATTGATCTGACCAGAGGTATCTTCAAAATCCTAACACCTACTGTCATTATGTTTAGCGATCCTTGTACTGAAAGTCTTAGCCACTGTTAAGGCAAGGGGGAAAAAGTAAAATGTTAAAGTCCACAAAGAAAAATATAAAATTTTCATTATTTACAGATTGCTTCTACAGAAAAATGCAAAAAAAATCACCAAATGAAATATTATAATTAGCATGGTAACATAACAATATTGCTGGATTTATAGTCAATACCAGCAACAAAAATTAGAAAATGAAATAGAGGAAAAAGTATGCAATCTATAAAAGGATAAAAGAAAAAATACCAATACCTTGGACTAATCATATTAAAAGATACTATAGCCTCTCTCCAATATATCATAAAACACTGTTGAGAGAAAATTTTAAAACTTGAATAATGTAATATGCCATGTTTATGGATTGGAAGGCTCAATATTTTTAAGATATGAATTCTTAAATCAACATATAGATGAAATACAATATAAATAAAGTTTTCATAGAAAATGAAAAGCTAATTCAAATATTTATATAAAAATGCAAAAGGGCCAGGAATAGTCAAGAATATTTGAAAAAGAAATGAAAACTGGAGGATTATCTTTAAAATTTTACAAGTTTATAGTAGTTAAGACAATAAGGTATTGTCACAAAGTTGAGAAAATATGCAAAGTGACTCTGTAAAAGTCCAAAAATTAAGCTGCATATATAATACTTGATTAAGGGCAAATGTGGTACCTGAGAGCTTTGGGGAAATCATCATTTTTAAATACATGATGATGCATCAGTCAGAGAAGGCGATCAGAGGGAAAAAATAAAAGGATATTTACCCCCATATTGGCTCCTACAACAAAACTCAATTCTGGGTAAAGTCAGCCAAGAATGAAAGGTGAAATAATATAGCTTCTGGAAGACACGGAAGGAGAGCATCTTTGTGATCTGTGTATAAATAAGCAGGAACTTCTTAACCAGGACACAGAGAGCACGAAACCTAAAGGAAGCAACGTGGTAAACTTGATTGTCTCTAAAAGTAAGACTCACTAAGACAGTTAAAAATGCAAGAGTGGATCATCAGAGTGGAAGAAAATACTTACAATACATGCAACCAACTAATGACTCACATATATAATGTATAAAGAACTCGTGCAGGACAGACTGGCAGAGGAGTTGAAAGTGTACTTCAAAAAAGAGGAGATACAGCAAACTTACGAAAAGGTATTCAACTCCTTGGGGATCAGAACGATGCAAATCTAATGAGGTATTGCCATGCACATACCAGAATAGCTTAAACCTAAAGAGATGGAAAATACCACATGGCAGAGAAAATGTGGGGCACCTGGAAATAGCACACCCTGCTGGTGAGAGTGTAAATTGGTACAACCACTTTGGAAAACTTAATGTGTTCTAAAGCTCGACAGACTCTGTGACCCTAAGAATTTCACCTCTATGGGGAGAATATGTATATACATGTGCATCAAAACACATTTGCTCATAGAGTATTCATAGCAGCGCTATTCGTAATAGCCCAACATTGAAACAAAGTAAATCTCCATCAACAGCGGAAAGAATACATACACTGAGATGAATGAATTATTGTTTCATGCAACAGAATGCATTAGTTACTCATATAAAATGCTCAGTGCAAGAAGCCAAATGCATTTCAAATTGGATGATTTCATTTTGACAACTACTGAATATAGCCAAAACAAATCTTGAGTTTTAGAAATCAGGATGGTGGTGAGTACTCTTGTATGCTTCAGATGTTTACACTTTTTATACTAGATATTTACATTTTCATTTCATTACATTCAATGTTTAAATTTTTAATATTATTAATAAAATATTATGCTTTGTTAATTTATTGATAGACAATTTTAAATTGGAAAATACAATTCATCAAATCATTTTATCATTTAATATTTATTATAGAATTATTAATTTTAATGTGGACATATAATATTAATATAATCTTAATTTTATAAATATTGAGTTAAGGAACTTTAAGTTTAATTAACATATTATAGGAATATATTTGAATAAAATATATTCCTGTAATATTAATGGTAATGTTATTTTAGTTACAGAATGGATTTTAACAGCTTGAAAGATAATTCTGGAAGAAGAACTGCTCTAATATCAATATTCTTTATGGCACACGGGTCACAAATACCCTGTATGAAATAGAACTTGAGAAGAAAGAAGACAATTTTTTAAACTGAACTTTTGAAACAATCTATTTTGCTTATGTCTTTAAAATATATGAGTTATAAAGATAAAAATGTATGTTAAATAAATTCTAAAAGTACTATTTCAATAGTGCAAAAATAAATATTCTAAGAGTAAAGAAAATAAACAAAAAATCATCTTAAAGATAAATGTTCAAACAAACGAAAAGAATCTATCCTAAGGATAAATGTTCATGGCAGCCTTAATTAGAAATGAAAATTCTAAAGTCACCTAAACATTTCATTGAATTGGAATAATAACATGTACCATGACATGAGGATATACCCATGCAAAGCAACAATGAAAAAATGTTATGAAAAATGCATGACAATACACAGTTCTTATAATTTTATGCAGAATATGTGTGTATGTACACACTTACACACACACACACACACACACACACACACACACACACTCCCCTTCTGAAAAGAAATCCACCAAAATGCTGTTTCCAGGATATGATATTGCAATGATAGGTGACTTTCTATTTTCCAAATTATTTGTATTATAGGCTTTTTTTTAAAATAAAAAATAATTTAGAATAAAAATTACAGCTTATAATAATGGGTGATTTGAGTATTTTTGGACACAAGATCAGCCTTCTGGGAAAGAAATAAAGATAGGCCAATAACCTGAAATTCAAGCATGTAAGCAATTGACTGTTGCTGATCTCCAACTGTGGGAACCAACATCAACCCATTCGAACTTTAATACGGCAAGGCACTTTTACAAAATGCATTTGAGTGTTTTGTTCATCAACCATTTGCCTTAATGTCAATACTGTGGCCTGACATTTACTTTGTCAAAAGTGTCTTTACATCACTGTGCTGCTGAAAGCAAATAGCAAATAAGCAGCAAACTCCTGCGTACCTTCCGTCTTCTTCCAGTAGATTTTGACCTGCAGTTGGTTGTCTTGAAAGAACGGAGCTCCAACTTCCAGCGGGCGCGTTGGCCGTCGTCTTTGGAAAGGGGGCTGCATTTGCATCCCACCTTTTCTGGTTTTCCCAAGCTCTTCTTCTGCAACAAAGCACAACATTCAAATGTACCTATTAAACATAATTTTATAACCTGCTATTAATCCCAGTGCACTTAATTTCATCCTGTTTTTATTCACATCAGCACCTGTTTTGTTAAAGTAAAAGGGGATACAACTGCATATTCTTTCATGCTCAAGTTAAAAATGTGTTGGAACTCCCTTTCAAAATGTGCTGGAATACTAAAAGTATGTTACATGTGATCACTACAATTTAAACTGGTAATCAATATATATTTACCGGGCTTGAAAGTATAATTGAATAAGTGTACTTATTACTTAAGATGTTCTAAAATAAGGAGTTAGCATAAATAGTATCTCATTATAGATAGATTTTTTACAGTTATGAGGGAAATAAACAAAATAATACTGAAATACCACTTCATGAAAACAATAGATAGCTTTCACAGAAGCATGGGCATTAAACATCAACACTTGCTACAAGGCCCTAAACAGAAACAGCGTTCAACTTTGTCACGTTAGTAGTTTAGAGCACAAATTGCTTGGATCCCGTTGACAACACCAACTTCAGTCTCAGCACTCAACAGCCCATCTGGGTGCAGTTCAGGTTAGCGACAGACATTCAGACTCTGACAGATATTAAAGTGAAGTATTAAAATACCCAGGAAAGGAAATGCAATGCAATGGCCACAACACATTGGACTGGGCAATGGAATATAAGGGCGTATTCACTCATTAGTTCTTTCTGTGAGTATCTATGAGCACTTCCCAGGAGCCAGAAACTGGAGCTAGAAGCTGGGGATGTAAAGGTTTTGTACATCAAGGGCTCTTGAAACAGCAGAAGATATTTCCACCACGATTACAGCACACACTGAGAGAGAGCTCCACTCAAGGCTCCTGCCCGGCGCGAGTGCCTAAGTCTGACAAGTCACACAGTGTCTGTTCTTTGAAAAAGTGGCCAAAAAGTTTTGGATGAAACAATTCACAGAAGCACATTTGTTGCAATGTGGGATGGTATTTTGTGAATAAACCAGAACACTTCAGGAAAGAAGAGATGAGAACATGTTCACATGTTCATTATTATTACTTTTTTTTAGCATGAACATTTTTTTACCTATTGTCCATTTTAAAAATACGTTCAAAACATACTCATTGCAGAGCTAGGATAGTATAAAAGTGAATAAGAAGGACCCCAAACCCCAATACGCCATACCCAATGCGACAGAGAGATACGCTGCTATGAAACAAAACACCATGAAATAGTTCTGTGAATCAGGCAATTTTCAAACGTTTATTCTTAGGCTAGGTCACTTCTTACTGTGCTGCTGTTTAGGGTCACGCTATGGCTCTAGTTTTAGTTTGCTATTTGTTTTTCTGTTTTAATTTGGCTGCATCTTCCCCTCCTGTGCCATTGCTAATTCCTGAAATCCAGTAGGCTCCTTCCTACCTACACTTCTGATTGCTTTAGCTCAGAACGTAAGGCACTACTTGTTTCTCTCTGTATCTCCCCTCTTTGTCTTTCAAAACTTCCTGTAAGCTCTCCCTGGCGAAGATGTCCCAAAGTAAATGGAAACAAACAGCTGTTTAGTGAGCCTGTATTTTCTCAGTTTTCAATATTGTTTTTCCTTAATTTGTTTGTCCAACTCCATTTAGAACTATCTAGAAAGAGACTCTTGTCCTAATTTTCCTTGGATGCCCACTGCCTACCTCAGAAACACACAAAGTCATTGCTTAATATGTATTGGATGCAGTGAAACGAACAAGTCTATGAATTCATGGCTCTATGGACCAAATGTTTGTTTATCTGGGGTTGTGTGGGGTGTTTTATTTATGTCAGTACAGTAATCCTTTGACATGGGATTCAAACATGGGGTACAATCTTCTTTGTTGTAGGAAGGGCAAAAACACCCTAACTTTTTGAGTCCAGGTGTGTTTCTGGTGGGCTTTAGTTTGGTTGGTGAGCTTTGATACTATTTAATTTATATCTGGTCAGCCATCCTATGAAATAAAGCCAGTAAACTTTTCATAAAGGGCCAGATAGTAAATGTTTTCGGTTTTGTGCGCCAGTCTCTCTCCCAACTACTTAATTGCTGTTGTAGCTTAAAAGTAGTCAGAGGTGATACGAAAATGACATGTAAATAAATGTAGCCCTGAGCCAACAAAATCTTAATTACAAAATCAGGTGGGGTCTTAATTTGGCCTGTGGGCCATAGTTTGTAGACACCTGAGAAAGAAGAATTGGCTCACACTAAAGACAAGAAAACAGTAGCACTTGAAACCACTATGAATCCTGTCCAGTTTCACAATTCAAACAGTGAAGCTGAGATTGAATTCTTTGGCCACCTCATGCCAAACCTGGGTTTCCATCACCACATACTGACAGCTGACTTACATGGTTGTATAATTAGGATGTCAAAAAATTCCCCTGCTCTCAAATCTCTCCTTCACCCTCTCCCTGAATTTAGAAATTGCATGCATGGAAATTCTGTCCTTTGATGCAACTTATGAATTCCAATAGCTCTTTGAGAGATAACAAGATAGGCTATATTGATTACGTACTGATACGCTATGGATTTTTCGTTTAATAAAGCAATAACGCTGACATTCTGGGGCAGGTGAGAGGAAGACAGGAAGATGAGATGGGGAGAACTTACCCAGTCTGGGGTAAGACAGGACCAGTCAAGGGAGGCTGGAGCTGCAGATGACAATCTATACTGACTGTCACTTTCTCTCACACTGGCGTGCCCACAAAATTGTCCATCCAGTGGATGTGATGAAAAGGGAATGGAAATTTACGTGAGTCAGATTTTTCTTTAGATTATTTTTGTTTAAGGAGTTCCAATCAATGTTTGGATAACGGAGAAACACTTACTAGGCCACTATGTTGTTAGGTCCACCATAACCCTGCAGAGAGCCGGCATGGCCAATAGCACAGAGAGCTCAGAGTCCAGGGGAGGGAGAGAAACCAGACATGGAGAACTCAACCCAAACCAGTCACCTCCTCGACACCATCGTGGAGTTGAAGAATCCCCCTGGTTTCACCCCAAATCTTTATTACATAATTAATTAAGGATCTAAAACAGGGGTCCTCAAACTTTTTAAACAGGGGGCCAGTTCACTGTCCCTCAGATCGTTGGAGGGCTGGACTATAGTTTTAAAAAAAACTATGAACAAATTCCTATGCATGCTGCACATATCTTATTTTGTAGTAAAAAAACAAATGGGCAAAAGCACCCACATGTGGCCCGCGGGCCATAGTTTCTAAAATTTTCACAAGCCCATTTTTGTTTCCCATTTCTTTAATAATCTGTAAGATTGAGAACTCTTCAGTGGATAACCAACAAAGATGTTTAGATACTATGTTTCAACTCCATGTGCATCCTGTCTTCCTACTTGATTTTGTATCCCATGCAAACTATAATCTTTAATTATAGATCCAAGAATGTATTTTTATACATCTTAAGATTGAACCATTATTGATTTCCTGAAATGACTCAAGAGCAGGACTCCACCAACAAGTGGTATTGCTGATACACGCCTTGGGTAAACTACAGATAAGGTGCAGATTTCAGTGCTGGGAGTATGTCCCTGACTTTATAAGAAAGTCTCCTCCACTTTCAGTAGCAAACAGAAATGAAATAAAATCATATCTACCACATTCTGAAAAGGCATGAAGTCTGATTTATGCTATTTGGTAGTCATAAAAGTTAAGACAATCAAATATGTATACTATTTTTTCAAACATCCAAATCTTGATTAATTTTACAGATCAAGAGATTTATAATATTTTATCTCTACTCCATTCTTATTTTGGAGAGCTAGAAAAATATTTCAGTTCCATGAGGCAAATATAAAACACTTGGAAACTGTCAGCCTTGAAAATATTCCTCCTACCTCCAAAAAAACCAAGCTACATTTCCATTAAAGACAGTGTTACATCTTACTCCCTTCAACAGACTCTTTCATAAAACTGCATGAACATTCAGCCTTTGCTTGCATAAAAATATTTATCATTAAAACACCGAGTAGCCTGCAGACCTGGAAAAAATATAATTCAAAAAGTAATTTATATGCTGACATTTACTACTCTCCTTCCTATAAAATATAATTTCCCTTGCTTATACTATAAAGTTGTAATTATTCTTTACCTCTAGTTGGTTCATGATGAAATATATAGTGTTCTTATAAAAGTCATGTACTAGTGTTTATGAGATTATATATCAACATTGGGATATAAAACCCTGACAAACACTCAGCTGTATCTTACATAATCCGTTGTAAAGCAAGTTACTTCTGTAGAATAACTTGGGACCCAAACAATATGTGTTACTACAGGTACTTTGCACTATTATTTTTTTTCTTTTACTTTTCTTTTATTAGTTTTGTGACTCTATGTGACAGGAATTAGTCCTAAGAATAAAGAGGCCTTTGATAGGTTAACTATCACATGTCTTTTTGGTTAGGCAAGACATGATCTAATTGTAAGTGATGACTAGAAAATGATCGTAGTACTGAGACTCAGCCAGTCCAATAGGTAGGGCCCTCTTTCTCTCTTCTAACTGCCATGATTCTAGTGTCTTCCCATCTGGCTAGAAACTCCCACCAGTGAAGAGAATTCCTCTGGAATTGTCAACCAAGTGAAAACACAAACTCTCGCAGGATATAGCTAAAATATGCAAACAGCCTGCAAGAGATGAACAACCTTGGTTGTTGGAAGTTGAGACTGAAGGTCACGTCATTGTCCCTTCCTTTCCTATGTATGACCGTATGAGATGAATCTATTGGAACCTTTAGAAAGCTGTAGTGTTAGCGTATGGGTCAGAGGTGGCTGAATGGAGAGACGGTCGCATTCGGCTGAGCTAAAACACTTGGTGAATTCCTACTGAGTTCCTTGAAGATTTAAGAAGCTGGAGGTCTTGACAAAAGTTGCAGGACCTAGAAATGAACTAAAGGGAACAGGAAGCAGTGAACAAAGACTCCCAGGTTTCTGGTCAGCAGTAACCCCACTGGTGACAACAAATGCCTGGAGACATCAGGCTTTGTCAGTGAAGGGTATGAGTCTAACGTGCAGAATATTGTGTCTAAGATGCTTATGTGACGTTTGGATACGAACGATGACAACCTAGAGAAATCCGGTATTAGCAGAGAAATCAAGGCTGGAGCTGAGTCATCAGGAATGTCCCCGGAGTAGGTAGTGACAAAGTTGTCAGAGTGGGTAAGATAGAACTCTGGAGAGGCCCAGAGGAGAAGGAGACCCCACAAGTAAAACCGAGCAGAGGTCTGAGAGGAATCAGGACATGTGGGAGTCAAATACACACGGGTCAAAGTGTAGCAAGAGGGCAAGTGCAGTTAAATGAAGACAAATGCATCAGGAAGGAGCAAGAAAGTTGGGAATGGAAAACGTTCATCAGACTTAGAAATTAGCAGGAGCAGACTGAGTGGGAAAGTGAGATTGAGAAACAGATTGCAGCTGCTTGAGCAACACACGGACAGGGGAAGGATAAATGGTAGCCAGAGGGAAACCAGACTCGAGGGAAGAACTGTTTTAGAATTGGAAGCCGAGCAGATCTAGCCCGGGGAGAGGAGTAGGTCGAGGGCATCAGCAAAAGAGGGAGCAGCTGGTTAATTTGGCTCCACAGATATTTGTGGTGCCATGATGATGGGCCTGGGACTATGACGGGGGCTGTGGGTCACAGGTAGAAATCTGTGTCTCCAACCTAGATGAGACTTGACCTCGGTGGATGCAGGTCTGAATCAGGAAGGGGTGGGTTCACCACGTGCAGGGGGACGGACGCCTCCACCTCACAGCACAGGGGACTGCTCGAGAGGAGCATGGGCATGGGGCGGACATGCTTATATTCATGGGGGATTGCATGGCTTATGAGAGGGAGGGATTTACACTAGACAGTGCAATGTGGCTTAAAGGAGAAAGGAAAGTTTACAATCATCCTTGGGAGAGGATAATGAACGATGTCCCTGAGGGCCACTTGGGGCTGCCCCAGGAGGAGTGAGAAAGCCTGATATGCGGGGGAGACCCAGGGCCCCACAAAAGTTCCATCCATGGGCTGGACCAGGACGAGCCTCTAGATCAGGTATCTTCAAACTACGGCCCATGGGCCACATGCCTCCTGCCTAGCACATTTATCTGGCCCTCTGGGTGTTTTTGCCACCACTGCCTGTCCTGCTTAGCAGCTGACTCGTCCCGTGCCCACAGTGCACATGGGTGGAATGTGCGCCACCATGCTCTCCAACGGTCTGAGGGACAGTGAACTGGCCCCTTCTTTGAAAAGTTTGAGGACCCCTGCTGTAGATAATGTAACCTCAACAAGGACAAGTTGAGGTTGGGGTTTTCCCTCCTCACTCTCGGTTCTGGGAATAAACACACAGTAAATTGTGGGAGTCTGCAATCCCACACCAGTTGCTAATGGGGAAAGAATGTTGTTTGTTGCAAGAACCAGGAGAGGAAAGAGACAAGCTCATTTTACAGGGTGGGTGAGATCCCCACCACCAGCAGGAAAAGACAGGTCCCAGGTGAAGCAGAAGTTTAAAGGAATGTGGTCTGAGGAGGAGGATGGGAAGGAAAAAGGAGGAAAGCTATGAAGGAGGAAGTTTTGGGAGACGTGAAAAGAGAAGACAACTTGCTGGCTCTCTTGAGACGGGAATTCGGAAAAGAGAGAAATCTGTAATTAGGTGGGCAGTTTCTAAAGGATACTTTGCCGGCTCTACAACAGGAAGGATATTAAAGAAAGAGCAGAAACACAAACACTAATTAGGAGCCTGTTTTAATTTTACAGGAAAGAGATGATAGTGGCACAAACAAGGGAAAGAGTTGGACAGATCCCACGTAGAACTTAAAATTAGAGGCAAAAAGACTTTCAGAAGAATTGGATTTCTGGAGAGACAGAAAAGAGAGAAGAATGAAGGCTGACTTCTGCACCTTGGGCTCCAGCAACCGCGTGGAAATTGGAGGCATTTGCGCGTGGAAATTGGAGGCATTTGCGGAGACAGGAGAGCCCGGGAGAGGAGCAGGTGTGAGGGGAAGGCCGGGGCTCTGTTCGGACGTGTAACGTTTGAAATGCCTGCCAGCCGCCCACGTGGAGGTGTGGAGTAGGCTGAACACCTGAACATAAGGACTTCGGAGTCCAGGGAGCGGCCGGGGTGGCAGCCACTAGCAGGCGGATGGTGGCGAAATGCCTGCAACCCAGTGAGAGCTCAGGGGAGAGAAGGGTCTCCCAACACCCTCATGCCTCCCCTGTGCCGAGCTCTCTGCCTATGCTATGCACTTTGCATCTCTTCGCATGCTTACACGCTGCTGCACGTGTGTGCAACAACACCCGTGCTCTGTGAGCCCACGGGCCACTCACTTCTCAGGACTTCATGAGGAATGACATGCCTGTCCACGTTAGTTATTTCTGCTTCCCCTGTTTCCTGTGGTTGTGCATGCAACCCACGGGTCTCTGTGCAATCATTTTATGTATTTATCTCCCAAATTCAAAACTGGGTACTTTTAAGACAAAGATCGAAATACATGTAGTGCTGCGAGTAACGTGCGTGTGTGTGTATGTGTGAGTGTGTACGATTATGTCTATATGTGTGTATGAGTGTGTACATATGTGTATGTGAGTGTTCATATGTACATCTGTGCATAGGGTGCAGATATATACATATGTGCATACAATATTTACATTTTATAGAAAATTATGGTCCATATATGCATATACACAGCATATATATAGACTATATATTTGGCACCTACGATATATAGTGTATGCATGTATAATATTATATAGTATAGTATTCCCAGCTTTAGGCACAGTAGTCTCATAATTCACAGGTGTTCAATTTCAATGTGATGGATATAGATGGATGACTAGATTAAAACATGAATGAAGTTATTAAACACACAGAAATATTTCCATGAGAACTTTTAGTTAAAAGTCACATTGTACCCAGACTCCCATAAAAATAGCCCATTTCAAATCCATTTAATCTACAAAGAGACTATTTCTCAGGCAGGCAATGGAATTGCTATTTCTAGAACTTTTTTGAAAGCATCATTTCAAACAAACCTGCTCATTTGGATCCTCCTTTTCTTCCAGGTGGTGGAAGGCAGTTGGGAGCAATCACTGCATCTAACTCTGCGGACCAGCCCTGCCATTCCTAAATTCAAACAAACCTTTAACACATTCTTCTTCCCCTTCTGAAGGAGGCCCCCCGCCCTGATGGGAGGCAGATGGGACCACAGGGGCCTGCTGGCCTAAGGAATCCACACTCCTGGGGCCCCAGACGCCTGGCTTTCTCCCTCCTCCTCCCTTCCAACCTGCCCCGGTCCCTGACGCCATGCCAGGCTCCTCTGCGTGGCAGTTCTAACTGGTATGCTCTTTTCAACAAAGCCAGAGACATCAAGTGACTTAAACATGAAAAAACCAACGTGAGAATGATTTAGTAACTTCAGTCAAAGGAGTATGAGGCAGTCTTCCCAGGAGTAATTAAGACCATTGTGGAATACCAGGAAAAAAGGGTGTGCCACGTTTTCAGAAGGGAAACAACAATTTATATGTGTTATCTTTAAAAACAAGTCTGCATGTGTACAAATAACGTAGATATAAAAGCAGCGGATCTGTTGGGATGACGTGTAAGTTTTCTTGCCAAACTTCCATGACACCAGCAAAATATCACACTTAGAACACATAAAAAGCATACGGAAGAATTCAAAAGTGCGTCATGATACGTCACAATCAGCGTGGCAGACGCGACACGCCTGTCACTTACTGTTGCCGGCTGCACGCGTGGACGTGAAATGGAGCGACGCCTTCGCGCTCTTGAGGCGCGTCTGGCCCCAGTACGCGATGGCCTGCAGCTCCACCACATAGTCGCAGTCGGGCTGGAGCTTCTCCAGCGTCACCGAGTTCTGAAACTAGAAACGAAGAGAACATGCCCAAGCTCCATCACAAGCCTTCCACGCCTCTCACCGTCATTGCAAAGTCTTCTACGTCATTATGCGGCAGGCCAACTTCTGGCTTAGGTCTGCCTTTAGTTTTCCTAAGATTTTCTGCATCTTTAGGATCTGAAAATCCAGTTCTACTGTGGATCGGAGGAAACTTCATAGAAAGGCCAGATCTATTTTCCAAATATTGTTCCTAATCCGATTCTTGGGTGCTCCCAGGTGGCAGGGAAATGAATCATGCTGATCACTCTGCTCTCTGAGCTACCACCTTGCAGAGAAAAGAGAGCTGTTTACAGCAAATGGACAGAGGGTTATGTTGCCACGTACCTGGAAAAATTATGAATCAGCATGAATTGTATTTCTTTGATATCTAGGCTAAATGTTTATGAGCAGATTTCCACTAAAAGCTATAGGAAAAGTCAACCTGACACAATGCCTCAAGATTTTTCTGTCGCCATGTGTTGAGCAAAAAGTCCGGGTGAGGGAACCTGCCAGCATTTCATCAGGTCGCTTTTTGCCCTAGATTGCTCTGATTCCCCAATTTCAGCTCTCTCAGCTCATGAGGTAAGCATGCACTACCATTATTACTTGTAGCAAAACCCTTCAACACAAAAGATGGAATTGTCAGAATTTTTTTTTTAAATAAAATGAAAATAGTATGACAGCTACATATCCACGATATGGACTTTTTGAGACGTTTTTATAATTCTATATATAGAATTATATAGGCTGGTATATATATTGGAATCTATATAGAATACATGGAGTAGCATAGATATTAGAATCTATATAGAATTATATAGACTGGCATAGATACTGGAATCTATATAGAATATATTGAGTGGCATAGATATTGGACTCCTTAGGTCAAAACTATAGTCTTGCTATCTTTCCATTTTTAAACATATTTATCTATCCATGAGATATGACTTATTAAATTAAGGGGAAATGTGTTTAAGTAAATTTTTATAATAATAAAATAAAGGAATGTACACTAAAAGGAAACTGCATAACTCTTTTTTTATGCACCAAACATTTCAAATGATGCAAGATATTTGCAATCATAGAAATCTCATTGCAGAAAAGGTTTCAGTGAAGATTTTATTTCTTGGCATCTGAAGAATAAACCACTCCAGATTCTTTTAATCAATATACCGTCAAACATGCTGTTTCTAAGTTGTTTACTGTGTGCTGATTTGATTACAGATAGAAACACCTTTCAACAGAAAAGCCATGAACACTTGCTCTTCCATTTACAAGAATCTTGCCAAAAAGAAAAAAAAATCTAAATGTAAAACACATTTTGCATTATATATCATTTTCCATGGCTAGACAGGTAGGATGGGGATAATTGGAAGCATTCTTTTGATTTCTGGAGTTGTGGCTGCCATTTAGATAAGAGTCGGTTAATGGACTAAATTCAATTATTTTTGCCTTCAAATGTAAAAGGCAAAACAGCTGGCATGCTCCTGCGTTCTCTGAACCTCCTTGGTCATAACGAACAGCACAGGCATCCATTCCTTCTCTCCGCTCAGCGAGCCCACCTCGCAGAGCCGTTGTCTTGAGTTCAAACTCCCCGTGCGGGAAGAGGGGACCCTTTCCCTCCCGCCCCCACTTACCCCGTCTGTGGTCTTTCTCCGCTTCTTCTTTGTTGGAACGAGAGACTTGCTGCTGACCGTCCAGCTCCAGAACACTTTGTAGTGGTGCACGGGGATGTCCGGCTCCTCGGGGGCATCCCAGACCACAGTGACAGTCACACTCCCGTCACCGTTTACGGTGGAGTTTGCGAGCCGCAGGTTAGCCGGCGCAGGTGGGGCAGATGGGTCTGAAATCCAGCAGAAAGACAAACCGTGTGACTCAGCTACCAACGACAATGACAAAACTAGTGTCTTTGAGCCTGTAATTGACTACATGGTCATGCAAGAAGCACTGCTTTTTATATGTGGAAAAGTGGAAAAGAAGCGATAAGTAAGGTCCCCTTGTTAAGCCTTAAATGAAAATAGAGTCTATAAAACAGCAAGATAAATTTGTTTGGTCCAACAAATGTGTAGTCTAGAATGATTCTCCAAACCACTGCAACCCAGCTGGATTTTTGCTGTATTGAAATGGATACATTTCTGTAAAATCTAGTAGAATTTAATGCAGGTGAATTGACATTAAGTCAGTAAGCAAAGTAGACTCGCCCTTGAAACCTCCAAAGAGAAAAAGCTAGAAATCCAGTTCACACAAGTAATTGTTTTTGGCTTAGGGACCCTGTAGTGATTGATATTTGCATCAGCTAAGAGCAACAAAAAGAGATCAGGAAAAACAAACAAACAAAAAAACAACCCTGCACCATTTTTTACCCACATTACAAATTGGATGACTTACTGGTAATACCCATTTTTGTAATTTTTACCATTTCTGGTTTGTCTCCTAAAACAAAATCTTTCTCGGCTGTCAAGAGAGAAATGAGGTGCAGGAATTACCACCCGGCAAATCTCCATTTAAAGCAGGTGTAGGAAGAAGACGAACTGTGAGCAAACCTACAGGGTCTTTGCTGCATTTTCCGCCACAGACTGGGCGAGTGGGGATGCCACTCACCACACACAACCTACAGACGGTCTCAATTTCAAGTCACCCTCCCAGGAAAGTGCCGTCGATAATTGCAACTATGACAGCATGTGCATCGGAGGTGCTGAGAAGTCACATACAACCTGATACAAATGAAGACTGGAGGAGAAAAAACTCCGTGTGTTTACTCTCAGCATCCCTTGTGGTTTTGGAATGAAGGAAATATGGATTTTTATTTTTTTTAATTTCTTGTTCTTCTCTATGATCTATCATGCCTGGGGGCTTAGTTAGGTTAGTTCCTTCATTTTGTAAGATAAGAAAGCTCTGCAGTCGTTTGTAGGCTCGGGGCTAACGGGAGAAGCAAGTCGTGTGATGCTGGCAACCAAGCAGCTCTCCAACAAGTGACGTCAAGATGTCCCGGCCGCCCGGGACTTCCACGGGGCCTTGCTAAGCCTGTGAGTGCAGCTGGGCCCAGAAATACACGCATCGTGTGTAAAACACACAGGTAATTCTGAAGGAGACGAGCTACAGGGGAGAAGGTGACAAGTATGGCCACGCGCCAGGAGGCATGAACGCCACCAAGTTCTGGGCGCAGTGGAGACACTCGCCCCGCCCTCGGGGACAGGAGCACCGATGTCCTCACCATGCAGCTCAGCAGCATCAGCGGAGTCCTCCTCCAATCACCAATGCCCATAACCAACGCCATCAATGCCACCGCCGATCGTTTCCTTCCCTTTACAACACAGCCTTCACTGGGCTTCCTGGTCACCTCTCTCCACGGGATGTCCCTTCCGTCTCACCACTTCTCAGCCCCGCGCCCCACAGCGCCTCCCAACCCCTCCTTGCTCAACAGCAGAGCTGCCCACGTCGGCACTGACCTGGGGGCTGCTTCTCTCCTCGTGCGCACCCACTCTGCAGGAATCGTGTCCCGTGTCACTGCTCTAAAAACATCTTTGTGCCCATGGCTCTCAAACCAATGACTTTGACACAGACCTCAGCCCTGAATTCGGGTTCAGCTGTTCAGAAATCTTCCAGCCAGCTCCACTTGGAGGTCCCAGAGGCATCTCGAAACCAAAGTGTCCCAAACCAAAATGATGACCCCTACGCCCCCAACACACAGCCCAGCACCGACACCTCCAGCTCGGCACATGGCAATTCCTCCTTCCAGGGGCTCCAGCCGCAAACTTTGAAGTCATACGTTGATTTTCCACTCATAGCCTTGAGCGCATCGTGTTAGCACCACCTTCAAAATGTATGTGGAATGTAACGGCTTTGCCCCTCTTCTGGCAGTCTGGGCCAAGCCACCAGTGCCTGTCCCTGTCACCGTGGAGCTCCTGGCAGCGTGGCCTGGCGCCCACCCTCCATGCAGCAGCCGGTGATGCTTCCTCACGTGGACCAGGCGGTGCCACCCTCCTCAGAAGCTCTTCACACAAAAGTGCTACCTGTCTCTGGGTGCCCTGCAAGTCCCACTTCACACCAACCTCCTTCCTTTGAGTCCCGGCCACCCCCCGACCCCAGCCACAGAGGTTCGAGGAAAGCCAGGACGCTGCTGAGGCTATCCCACTGGCTTTGCCTGAACGCATTCCCTCGATAGCCCGACGACGGGCTCCTGTCCCCCTGCAGGTCCGGCCGCCCTGTGCACAATAGCCACGTGCTCTTCCTTCCACTGATTAAAAGCCATTAAAACCCCTGATTTTCTCCGGCTCCATTATTCTCCAAAGCCCTGTCACCAACCGGCTTATCGCATACTGTGCTTGCTGTCTGCCTCTACTCACAACCAGGAAATCTCCACAAGAGGAGTGGTTTCTGTCTGTTTTGCAAATTTCCATCTTTCCAGCATCTAGCAGAGCAGCCTGCCCACCATAGGTGCCCAGTAACCATTTGCGGAATGAATGAATGAATCAATGGATGAATGAAGGGCTTCTTCCAAATGTAGCTTTGATTTGTAAGGGGATATTTCGGTTTCAGGTTTAAACCGTTGTCAATCGGAATTGCTAAACCAAAACAAGATCATAAAATGAATTGCAAAATAAAAGGATTGCTTATTCCCAGTTTGAAATAAGAGAATTAAAGTGACACCCCTTCCTCTGGCATTGGATTCAATCCCTAACCTACAGAAGGAAGCTACAGACCTTTCTTGACAGGGAACCTCGTTGGCAAGTGAGTCATCATGTCAAGGCAAGAGAAAAATTAAAATGCATAAAGAAAAGAACAGTCATTCATGTTCTCGGTGATGCACCTGAATCTCTATATGCTGAGAATAAGCAATCACATGAATTTTCCAGGTATTCTGGGCTCAAAAGGAAAAGCTCAAAATCATCTCTCCTTTTAAAAAAAATTTTAACATTTAAGAAGGTTAACTAATGCTAGGTATTTCATCATTTTCCTTAATCAGCTTCATTCATTGTGTCATTATTTACTTCCCTGGAAAATCTTTCTTATATCTTAGATGTGATCATAATATTTCAGAATATTATCATCTAGTTAATGAAACCATGAAATGTTATAAAACATGAAACAACATAAGCTATGAAAACAATATATGAGGAAATAATGTTACTAAAATATTAATTAATAATATTTTCTCTGTATGTTCTCAAAACTAAGGCTTATTTTGAGTTTTTACAATATTAAGATGGTGCACTTCCACTATTAAAATGATATCCTCCCAATCTCTTCCTCCCCTAAAACAATCAATATTAAATTAAAAAATGAAAAGGAAATTGTGGCAATCACCTGTTTATTCCCCCATTGCCCTCTGCAAACTAGCCATTCATTTATGCACTTACTCACTATAGGGTTCACCTAAAAGAGGATCAGTTTGGTTTATCTAATCTGAAGCATTTCATTCAATCCTAACATACTTCCAAGTTTAAACCATCCTCTGCCTTAAGAAACGATTCCCTATGCTATGAAACAAGGCATTTTCACTTGGTTGAATTATACAAAATCTTTTCTTTCAACTTACAGGATGCTTTAATTGTGTTAGAATTTTCTAATGCGGTTGGATATTTGCATGTGAAATATATATACACACACATACATCTATAGACATATATAGACAGACAGAAAGATAGAGAGACAGATCTATGTTACAATAAAGCCCTGAGAGATTCTACAGGTTATTTCACTTTTTTTTTCTTTTTTTACTGGTGTGAGTCTTAGGGGTCAGAGAGATGAAGTAACATGTCCAAGGTCATTTGTGTAACTGGTGGCAGAAAACAGAGTGGGAAGAAAAATGAGAGGAAAAAGAGAAAGTGGAGGCTCTAATAATACAAATCTACAAGTGCCACACTCTGTATATGTTATATTCCATCATCATAATGAGGGTCAATATCCCTGCAGAAAGTAAAAATGCAAAGCCTTTTAGTGGAGAAAGTGTTCATCGTAACAGTCTGGAGCAGGCACTGACAGACTTTTTCTGTAAAGGGCCAGACAGCGAAGATTTTGGGCTCTGTGAACCACACAGTCTCTATTACAACCACTCAACTCTGCCCTCATAGCTCAAAAGCACCAGCAGACGATACGTAAATACATGAGTTCAGATGTGTTCCAATAAAACTTTATTTGCATAAACAGGCAGTGGGCCATAGATTGCACACTCCTAGCTGGGAGAATTTTGAAAACTGGGATACCATTAGCTTTAGGAAACTTGACAGGAGCACTGCTTATTTCTAGTTTTATAAACATATGGTTATATTTTGTTGACTAAATGTTGGCAATATTGCCCTTGTTTTAGAGATGAGGGAAAATTGAGGACCAGAGGGTCAGGAGCACAGAGGGAGAGGGTAGGATTCACATCACAGACCTTTGAACATTTAGTATGTAAATCCAACGTCAGCCTTGGAGAAAAGCAGTTCCTTCTATTGACGATCGTATGTGGTGCTTTTAGCAGAGGAAGATGGAACAGTTGGCTTTCAGAAAGATAGATTTCAGGTTTCATCACTTAACCTCTTGTGCTTGAAGCCACAAATGACAAAGTAACAGGCACAAAGGTCTGGTACAATGGAATGACTTTGAGCCTACGTTGGGTAAAGTGACAAGTAAAATCACTTATCACCCGTGGAGAAATGCAGGTCTATTATTGCACTGACATGAAATCTCATGGGAAAGGACGGCTTCTGCCTGTCCCGGGAGAAACCCCACCACTTTTTGTGAGGCTGGCTGCTTTAGGTTTTCAGACAACGCTATTTATTATAAACAGAAACCCATCCTTGCATGTTAAAAGAACAACTAACTAGCATGCAAGGGCCATAAAGACAGCAACTTTTA